GTTTACATTTGCGTCAAGAATCTGATATCTGCATTAATTTGTATAATCGCTGGATAGAATACATACCAATTTATCAAATGTTTTGAACTTTGGTCGCTGAGTTTAAGGTTCGTAATTAACTGTTCTACATTTTTTTTCCAATTTTCGCAACGTTTTTAGTAGGTGAATTGGACTTTACGTAGGAGTTAATAGGCACATAATGATTTCGTTTTTTCTCTTAACATAAAACTATTTGTTCGTAACGCAGAGATTCTATGTCATGATAAATTCTTCTTTTGCACTTGAACTTATTTTATTTACCGCATGTGCTCGTAATGTACTTGTATTCGTTGTGTGGTTATTTACTCACGCAAGTCAGCTGATACTTCGCAAATTTATAGCGTGTGGTGTTATGTATGCATCTCATTTTCCAAAAATAAGTCTCGTTTTATATACCGTCTACTATCCTAGAATACACTATTAAAATATTGGACAGCACTTAAAATTTAATGCATGTTTCAATCAATGCAGGAACGACCGTCAGTTTTTAGGCAATTTTTTAGAAGGTTAGCAGGTTTTCGTCGCGATGTTTAAAAAATATTCACTTACTAATTTAGCAGTAATTACTCTTTAACTGGAAGAAGAAAAATGAGATGGAAAAATAAAGAAAAGCGGGAAAATCAAATATTTTTCCATATTTTTTCATTTACATTACTCAACGGATAGTGAGAATATTCAATCTCAAGCTTAAGAATGTAACTGAAGTTTTGGAGAACAACTGGTTAGGGTACCTACATGGTTAAAACTAGGTATTGAGATGTTAATAAGTATTGTTCACTGGCTATTGACCAGAAAGTTTCCATCAAAGAGTGAAACATTGGAGTTCGTCTAATAAAGTGTTTCTTCACCAGAGTTTATACATTCATATTCTTTTATAAAAGCACGTCATCAATATTGCTTTTTTATAATCGGGAAAGCTAGCATTTAATAATAAAATTATTGTGTCATTAAATTTTGTATTTCCGAGAAAATTGACGATTTATTCAAAATTTAAGTATTATTACGGTATTTTTGTTTGTAAACAAGCGACAAATTATCCGTCATCATGCAATATAAAACCACTATAAATTTTTAATCAATTGTCATTACCTAAATGTGTGATAACGCTTTCGGCTTAGCCTACGGACAAATGCAGTGTGCGTGAACTAGACCTGATTTGTGCTTATCAATCATTAAATAACACGTTCAGTTCGAACGGCATTGCCGTGGATATCATGTACAGATAACAATTGTGGTAGAATGAAGTATGTATTTGCTTCTTAAAAAGAGTAAAAATTAATTTTGTTTGATCTCTTTGAAAACTTTCAAAACATTCTAAAACAGATAAAAGTGTTTAAAAGAAGTTTCTGAATTGAGTGGCCTTGCACTTAAACCAAATTACTGATCGTTAATATTTGAACTTTTTTATAAAATTATGATTAGACAACTAACAGCTTACATAGTTTTCCCATTATACATTTTTTTAACGAATTAAATTTTACAAACGTGTTTGTGGAATTTTGGGTAGTGTAAAACAAATTATTTTGATTATAAGTTATCAATTGTTTCATTTAATTTGTATTTATATTTTTGATAAGAAATGACCTAAAACAAAATTATGTAATAATACATATATGTTTATCATACATATGTATAACTTGTTCACAGTAGTAGAGATTAATTTTTTTTGACATACAATACAATAAATTTTATTAATGTTTTTCAATTGAAACTGATAACCACATTTTGCCATATTAGGATACAGTACTACAGATGAGAATTTATTCTTATTCAATAAAGCGCTGTATTGATGCTCTTTAAAATTATCAGGTCTTATAGAAATTAAATATCAAATCTCATTGTTGGTAATAATACACAAACGTATTGTATACTCACGCTTGTATGAAAACAGAAACAAACATGTAATTGATGAGTTTGTTAATTAATAAGATCGGTTATAATGGGTAATTACAGTGAGATGATGAACGGCACAAGTAGAATACTGTAGTCGCTCATTTCCTTTATAATTGCGATTTTCAGCTTAGACTATTTTTAGACAAATCAATATCAAGTTTCAAATGGATTCAAAGAGAGGGTTAGTGACCGACGTATATTTGCAAAAGTAATTTTTAATGGAGTAAATAAATGCGATTGTTTATAAACTATTTGTTTTTCTAATTAAATTGCATTCCAATAGCAATAATTTCTGAGATAAAGTTCGTGATTACAGTGAAAGTAATTTTATTTTTATTTTTAATTTTTCGAAGGGGTCATACAGATAAAGTTAACCTAAACTAAATTATCGTTTATTTTTCGTAAAAAAAATTAGGTTGTCGGTAATTTGTGATCAAGCGGAATTTTGAATAATGATTGATATTCTGACTTGATGACGTGGTCCAGGGTTGTTTCTCCTTTAGAGTCGCTTATCCGACGTTTCGCTAAATACTTTGGTTGGAATCCTCAGTATTAGGTGATATACGTATAATAATAGTTAATTAATTACTTGTTTAACTGCATCAGTTATGTATGATCTTACGGCCTTAAGTAATTTGAATGTAGAAAGCTCTGAATTCTTTTGGGATAGGTAAATATTCCTGAATTTATTAGCAAAATAAAGGTCAACCGTGGAGTGAAATATTGGACTTTATTTTCCTAACAAATCCAGGACTATTTACCTCAAAAAAATGGAAAGTTTTCTACATTCAGGTCTTTAATTCAATTTATTATGTATAACTAAAATAAAGTTTAAAATTTAATTCTTAGAGGAAGACATGGGCACTAATACTATACTATTTTAAAGGCGTTTCGATTTCGATCTCTTCGTTCAATAATTCACTGACCAAATAGAAACAGTCTACGGCGTGCTGATGAGACTTAAACAGATCTAAATCGCAATCCACATGTGGTAGTTTCATTAAATTTACTGTTCAAGAACTTGTGTTGTTGATATACTTAAATTAATTTATATTGCACATTGCATTGAGCATCAGAAAAAGGTCGTTACGTATTTTTTATTGTACAGCTGTTCAAATAAAGACGTATGAGACGTGATCAGCAATAGCAGGATGGTATGTAAATGTTGATTTCAATAATTTATGAAGCAGAGCAGCTACAAATAAACGACTGAGTTCTAAAAATTCTCAGGAGGTTGTCGCTCTTCAAGTTAAATAGAGCGTCGAATTTCACTTTCTATAAAAAAAATTGGCAATGAAATTTAAGAATAGTCGAACTTTATTCGAATATTAATTCGAAATAAAAGTCAGTTGCAGCGATAATCAATTTCTTGAGTTTTTTTGTGCTCCATGTTATCACGAAAAAAAAGTTAATTACGGTAGGGAAAGACAACATGAACGAATTACTTATGTGTTGTCTGCAGAGATGTGCAAAATAGGTTTTTAAAAGTATTTAAATACAAAATGCAAATCCTTTTTTGATTTGTTATTTGAAATGTAAAATACCAGATAGATTTCCCTTCTGTATTTAAATGCTAAATGCAAAATAAATACTTTTTTGTAGTAGGTACCTATATATCTACAACTTCTTTTGCTTCCGATATATTACACATTATAATAAGAGAAAGAAAGAGTCTATAGTTTCTTTAGCATTGGGTTTATCTAATAAGTGATGCTTTTCGAATCATTTTCTAAGAACGTTGGATTATAGGCATTTATTAGCACATCAAAATATCGTGTAGTTTTCAGTTTTATACAGCTGGCGTATATAAATTCGATTTTGTACTGATATCAATTTGGTACTTCAAAATTCCATGGACCATGACATTGAACCCGGAAAACAATATCGATGCAATATTTTAGACTATCTCCTATTTTGGACTATTTCCAAGGAAGTTTTTGGTTTTGGGCTCTATTCAGTTAAAGAATTGGAAGGCATAGAATGTCTCATTGTCCCCTTTTTAAATGCAAGATAAAAATAAGTATTTTTTATTTTGTATTTTCATTTTAGATGCAACTATTTGAAATAAATCATCTCTGGTTGTCTGACATCACTATCTGAGATTATAAAGCTTATTAAGAGAGGGCTTAACAACAGTAATACACGCCGATGCGTCTTCGAAACAAAAATTATGAAAATTTTGACCTGAATTAGTTGAATTCTCTATAATTTAGATGCATCTGAACTTAATCCAAATAAATTTTTGACTAACATGTTTGTCAGGTAATTAATTAAAAATTGTTTTTCTTTTAATGGCTATTCAACAGTACCTGTACATGTAGTATAAACCGTATAATATTCTTGAGATGATAGCGTGAGCAAGATTTTTAATTCACTGTACACTACGGTGTTTCTTTTATATGGTTTCTTTATTATCCTTTTTATAGCTTAAGGAGTGGTCTTTTTAGAAGGCCCTTTTTTGATGTAATTAGATGCATGTCACTTCATACGTCACATCATCTCTGAAGTATTCGGTTAATAAAAAGTGGACTTGACTTTACGCCACCATCCTTAGACTTTGTTGATGTGGATAGTTATAATCCTTAAAAATCTGAACCCTGTTATTACTTAATGAACAAATTCCTTTGTTCATTTTTTTCCAATGATGTTATCTTTAAATAGTTTGAATATTGAAAAGGATTTTACGTAAAGTACAGATCCCTTTATTATTAACGTTCCAGGGCTCCTACGAATATCTATCTATTCAAGGTCTACTTAAGATTTACTAACAATTTAATAAAAATACCATATCAGAAAGATAGAAATATTTTAACATATGTATATCTAATAAAAATGAAATACGGAATTTTCTTCTTTTTAGTCTTAATACTTTTCCTTCCTGTATGTGAAATACGTTTCTATTGACCTTGTTATAAAATGCTTACAGGCCAAGCTGTCTCTTAAAGACTTCCAGATATTTTCCTTTTTCTGTTTCAATTTGCTATTTTTAGCTACACTTTCTACTATCCTTTTCTTTCTTGATTGCAATTCGAACGATCGTTTTCCATAAAATTAAATAAAAAACTTACGTGATAAATAAAATTTGTTCACAAAATACTCGATCACGTTTTTCGGCGGATTTTCCACGTGGCAAAGATTCGTCAACGGAATTGCCAACAGAAACTGCATAAACAGAGTGCATGTTGCATTTAAATTGTCACTAAAAGCCCCACAACACAACACAACACAAAAATAGCATCTTTTGTTAAACTAGAAATACTATTGTCACGGATGATCGTAGTTTACCAACTGAATACAATTTGTTGTTTCGTTAAAATCGCTCTTTTTGTGTTACGTTTGGGTCTGCACGTATGCAAGGTTGATATTGTGGCTTGATTGTTGTTAAAATTTCGCCGGCTATCGAACCAGCTGACACGGTCGTCTAATAAACCTGACGACGCGACGGACCAACCGTCAGGTAGATTGATGATAATTAAACCAGGTAATAATTGCAAACAATAACAACAATCTCGCATGGGCCCTAATACTATACTATTTTAAAGGCGTTTCGATTTCTATCTGATTCGTTCAGTAATTCACCGACCAAATCGAAACAGTCTATGGCGTGCTGATGAGACTTAAACAGATCGAAATCGCAATCCACATGTGGTAGTTTCATTAAATTTACTGTTCAAGAACTTGTGTTGTTGATATACTAAAATTTTTTATTATTTATTAATTCGTAATAATAAAAAAGGCGTGTGTCCAACGTAGTAATTAATATCAGCCAGTACAACCGTTTGTGTATGAAACTGTAGTTTACATTTGCGTCAAGAATCTGATATCTGCATTAATTTGTATAATCGCTGGATAGAATACATACCAATTTATCAAATGTTTTGAACTTTGGTCGCTGAGTTTAAGGTTCGTAATTAACTGTTCTACATTTTTTTTCCAATTTTCGCAACGTTTTTAGTAGGTGAATTGGACTTTACGTAGGAGTTAATAGGCACATAATGATTTCGTTTTTTCTCTTAACATAAAACTATTTGTTCGTAACGCAGAGATTCTATGTCATGATAAATTCTTCTTTTGCACTTGAACTTATTTTATTTACCGCATGTGCTCGTAATGTACTTGTATTCGTTGTGTGGTTATTTACTCACGCAAGTCAGCTGATACTTCGCAAATTTATAGCGTGTGGTGTTATGTATGCATCTCATTTTCCAAAAATAAGTCTCGTTTTATATACCGTCTACTATCCTAGAATACACTATTAAAATATTGGACAGCACTTAAAATTTAATGCATGTTTCAATCAATGCAGGAACGACCGTCAGTTTTTAGGCAATTTTTTAGAAGGTTAGCAGGTTTTCGTCGCGATGTTTAAAAAATATNTTGTAGTTATTACAAGTGCTGGCGTACATGTCTTGCTTCACAAACTGACAAACTGTAGTGTCGACTTCATGTTCAATGACCGCTGTGGTACTGAAGAGACAAAGAGTAAACAAGCTTTTAACATTCTAGATATATTTTATTCTTAACTTGTTGAATCCATCCTTCTGATACGTAGCATATAATTCCAAAGCGAAATCTGAACTAATCTCTTTTGGCGCATATCTTTTGGATATTGAAAGTTGAACTAAAATGCGGTTCCATTTTTTAATGAGTTGCTTTAATAGTCAAATAATTCCATAAAATTATATCATGAGATGAGACAGCTGCATCGAATTCCATTACAAACACACCTCATTAATTAGCGTATGCGTTTTTTGCTGAAGGATTCTGCCGTAAACCAGAGCTTTTTGTACATTATTAAATCAATAACAAACGTTCAGGATTATCCTTCGGAAACTTATCATTCTTGAAATAATGAAGAATTAGCAAATGATACCTACCATTTTGCTGTATGATTTTAACGCCGTGACCGATTTCTTCAAAATAATCCTTTACTCAACATGAAAATCCTACCATAAGTTAGTTGTTTCTTGAGCTGTAGTAAATAAAGAAGAAGCGTTTTCATGATTCTCTAAATTCTTATTTCGCTTTGATGGGTTTTCAATTTAACTTTGATACGTGCAACAATCCTTAGCTGCTGCTTCTACTTAATCCTCTCGTCGCATCGTCAGCTTTGGGCGACGTCGATGTTACATAGAAATAACGGTAACAAGTCTCGTCGAACCAGACAGACTACGTGTCTCCCACACGTATGCATATTCATTTAAATAATAATTTTATCATTACCTATTCTTATTTATTGTGCAGCTGTATTGAAAGTTGATGAATATCAAATTCACCATAAATAAAGTAATTGTAGGCCTAAGATTAAATTTACAATTATTCGATAAATATGATTTATTATTAGCATTAAGCGTTGGAACTTTACAAATCACTTGTAAATGCATTTCCTATATAATTTTTAAAACATTTGCTCCTGTTTTTATATAAAACGTCCCATTAATGTATTGTATTAGAAGTAATTTGTTGTCTGATTTGTTTTTCCAAAAAAGTTTCGGCAATCCTGCGACAAAAACTTTATAATTACGAGTTTCCGGCGAATAGGATTATACATATAAGTAGTCTTAACTCAAAAGAGTAAATTTCAAAAACTTTCTACGCTACGTTTTATTCGTTTCAATTAATTGTAAAAAACATTTAAATAATGATTTTAATGGTGTTAAATTTCTTATTTTTTTTTATTTCACGCTTTATCGGTAACCCGATATATCCTATTGTAACCATTAAACATATGAATGCACTTCATTTTTCTTAGATTAGATAACAAAATACGTGCTTACTGATATTTGCAAGTAAAGATGATAGGCGGTTGGCACTATGATAAAACTACCTTTCACTATTTTATATTCTTTACCTTAATGATTACAAGAATTACCGGCTGAATTGTTGAATATCAAAAATGGCTACGGCCGGACTTTTTGTGACCTCAATAAAAAATAATTTATTTATTCATGTGATTTCTAGGCACTTGTACTACATGCGGTTTGGAACGTTTTTATCCTGATATGAACTACAAAAATTAAATATGACATACAATATATTTATTCGTTGTTATTACTTACGTTTACTAATTTATATTGTACCTACGTTTTGTACTTAATTACCGAAAGGTGGTAGACCTGTTAAAATTTGCAAAGATTTATTTGCAAAGTGTAAAGTATAAAGAATTACGTGTTATTGCGCTAAAAATGATTAATGGTTAGTCTCTTTAAGATTGCAGGATTTCAACAAAGGTTTTCTATGCTGCTATTCGAACTGTTGCTCATTAGTCTGTCCGTAAAATTGGCAAATTGCTGTTTAAAGACTAGCGAATATAAATAATGACTAACAATTTAATGGACACAAAAAGAAACCGAACTTGCCTATTCACAATTTGGCACGTAGGCAGTGAACATGTGATAAAATATTAGTAAGAAGAAGGCTAATATATTTTATGTGAATTCAAGCAGCATGCATGTAATAGGCGTCATAGAAAACTTTTATAATCCTGTAGTACGTAAAAAGTAAAAATAATGAGTGAATTTTTAATCCATGTCATTTTTTTTGTAATGCATTTTAGGTTCTAAAAAAATCTATTGTACAGGAGGGATTTAGAAAAAGGCAATTTTTGCTTTATTTTACTAATTGAAAACGTAATTTTTCAAAGCCTGTACCTTAAAAATTGAAAAAAAATGTGTATGTTTTTTCGGTTGTTTGTTCCAGTTTATGTGTCTATGCCTAGAAAAATTCTCTAGTTAAAAGTTATCTGAAGTCAGTAAAACCCAATGATGAATTTTTTTGATACAATCAATACACGTTTTAATTCCATTGGTTATTTTAATTAAGTGTTAGTAATAATTGATCGCCCATCATCATCATAAGGTCATCAGTCCTAAGACTGGTTGGTCACGTACCTCCACTCTTTCCTAACCTGACCTAATCTTCGCATTTCCCTAAAACTAGAACAGCCCACATCCTTAACTATTTGTGAAGAGTAATCTAATCTAGGTCTACCTCTACCCCTCCTAACTCCTGTTTCTGCCTCTAACATGTCTCTGACTAGACCTTCATGCCTGAGAAGGTGTCCTACCAACCTTTCTCGCCTATTTCTTATTGACTTCCATAGAGTCCTCTGTTCTCCTATTCTTTCTAATACCTCTTCATTTCTAACCTTTTCTACCCACGTTATCCTCATCATCCGCCTATAACACCACTGACTCAAAATATTTTCAAAAAATCGGGAATACATGCGTTGAATGAATTGGTTATATGCAGATTAGACACAAAAACAAGGAATTTTATTCAAAATAATTTAAAGGAGTACTTTGTCAATAAAAGTGTGGGATGACGTCCGAGTATAAGTAATGACAGTATGTAATTAATAAACTAAAAATAGTTTGTTGTGATTCGACGATGAGACAATATTTACTTCCCTGTCATAAAAAAATGTTAAACAATGTGAAGTTTTGATACTTGTAATTATGAAGGAACTACATAAAAACACGGTTATGTAATTTTAGAAATCTAAGGACGCTCATAACCGCAGCCTTGCACCGTTGTAGTTGTTAATAAAAATCTTGCATTTTGATACCTTTGCGCTTGAACGACAATCTTAAGGTCGATTAAACAACGAGAAAATAAAACTATAATTTTTTGTACTAACTTCTCTGAATAATACTAAAATAATACATTGCCTATTGAACATACCATGAATTTTCAAAATATTTTGATACTTTGATAAACAAACTCGGGGATTGTGTTGTCCCTTTGACATACACCGTATTATTATTATTATTGCTCTTCGGAAAAATCAGCTGCAGCGATAAGCAATAGGTCAAGTTTTTAAGGATGCTTGGGAGGTATGTCAAAATGCTACGAGACAAATAAAAATTTGGAATAACGTTCCTCATTCAATTCTAAAACTCATGTAAAAATTACAAATCGATTCACAACCGTTAAAAAGTTATTGAAATTTTAAAAAATTGTAATTTTACAAGTCATTTTATGGAGATTCGTTAACCGAACAGATTAAATTTATTTTTATTAACAGAAAACAAGCTACCAGAAATTTAAATTTTTATAATAAGTAATTTGAACTCTGGTTAATCACTTTAGCGTAAGGTTATTCAAATTCACTAAATGGTTATCGAGGAGAAAATGAAAAATTATCCGAAAATCTCGTTTTTACTTGATAATATTTATAATTATCTGAAATAAATGCAATTTTAAAGTTTTAATTATTAACTGAACTTATTAAAAAGTTTTACGCTCATTATTAATAGAGGTTGAAACTAAATATTTTCGAAGTTGAAATCAAGACATAATCACTGCCATAGTCAGTTAAAAATTTTCCTTATTATTATTCGTTATTTCTTATTTTATTCAAAGTTTTTGGTCAAATTCCAAATTTTCTCTCAAAACGTATACTTTTTTTTTAGTATAGATAGTATTTATTTACTTCATGATATGCTGCAAAACCTAATTAATCACGAATTTCTAATTTTATGTACTCTTGTCTCCCATTGTATCTCCCAAACATCCTTAAGTGAAACTATTAGGTACCACTATAAATTTTCAGTGGCATATCACTCAGCATTACATTATGAATAATGAAGAGCAAAGCAAAATTAAAACCAAGACCGTCCCAAATTTCTAGTCTTGTTCTTGGTTTTGCTGATACAGTCTTGGTCTTTGTCTTGGTATTGCCTGTTAAATCTTACTCTTTTCTTTTAATCTGATACGTTTTCTTTATAATTCTAAGCACAATGATTGTCTTAAATATTGAAATTTTCTTTCATATTTGCGAGCTTGTCACCGACTTTTAAAGAAAATAGTGTCGATAGTTGTGAGAATTATGAAAAAAAAAAAAAGAACTGATTTGAGATTCTAAAGGCTTATTAAGTAGTGGACTTAACCGCTTAACAAAACTAATAATACAATATGTAGAAGAGATCTCTTTTTTATTTTATTAACCCGAATTTTCTCCAACTCCAACATAACTAACTGAGTGTATTTAGAAGCTTCCAGTTAGGGAAGTTTGTCACTTATTTCGAAATTAGTAGATATACTTATCGTTAGAGAGATAGTGATATAATTATAAATAAAACATTTTCTGTAATTACGAAAGTAGACTTATATATGCCATGGTTACGCACGGCTTCTAACAATTCTAATCGTATTAAGTGAAAATGGAAAATTTCGACTTTTTGGTACTAAAAAAAGGCACGTGATCGACCCACTAAATCGAACCGTTTTACCAACACCGATTGACGTTCAAGGCCGCTAAAAAATCGACATGCACGCGATTCTCGTAAAACAATCTATTTTTTCCACAACGGCCGTAGTTTTTCTAAAATGTTACGCACCCACGAACCCATGGGCACACCGCGCAGCGTCCGCAGGTTCGTCGCCGTCGCGGCGCTGACGCCGCTGCATCAGAATACCTACTGATGTTGGTCACGCGACACACATGCGATTGTTTTAGTCGGGTTTATCACCGATGGAAAATCGTAATCATCGTAATAATAATCACATGTTATACTTGCTGGAGGTGTGCTCTCTACGGCGGTAGTTTGTTACGTATTGAATCTTGCGTGTGGTGGGGACCATCAGGGAACTAAACCGACTGTAGAACAAACTTCAGCGTCGCGCCGACTCTCGTCGAACAGTTTTGCCGGTGAAATCGCATTGTTAAGGAGCGTAAAACTACATTTCACTAATCGTTTCTTTAGACGAGAAAATAAAAGTCGTAGAGTGTCTATCAATTGTTACGTATGCACATAAATGAGTTTCAATTAAGTGTTACTTCGCTTAACGTATCGCTTTTCCAAAGAAAGTTACGTAATAACTTCGAAAATTGTTACACAATAACAACAAGAAGCGTCGCGTCGTAACTGTCGCGAAAATATCGTTCGTGACGTGACAAAGGGGCTGTTCATACGTACCCTCGTCATCCCTTTTGGCACCTAGCGAACGTCTTTTGTTGTTGTTGCAGTGGTATCGAATGCGAAGACGAAATCTACTCGTCGACACAGTTGTTGTCGTCGTCGTCGGTAAAATCGCCTCCGTCTCCTCCAAAGAAGAACGAATTGTGTCCGAAAGTTTTCAAAGAAGAGCCCTTGCCGGAACTCATTCTTCCGCCTCAGCCACCTATAAAGGCAACCCCCAAGGTGCACAGACCTCAGACGGTCACCGCGAAATTGTTCGGTGAACCGGTCAATCAATCACAATCGCCTCAACATCATCCTCCTCTTGTACGCCCGCAAACTGCAACGTTCAAAATCTTCGCACCTCGTACCGAAGACATGAGCAAGGGCTTTTTGACTTTCTCAGAGGAAGAACCAGGATTGACATGTAAGTAGGTACCTGTATGTAGTAGGTACCATTCAAATTTTGTTGCGACCGCTGAATCTGTTATACATTTACGATGTTGCCGTCTAAAAATTCGGTAAACATTTAGAAATTACATTTCATCGTATTTTTACTGATTTTATTAAGTACTCCTACATTAATTTAAGTTTCAATTATTTGCAGAGTGACGTACAACAATCGTTATCACTTCTGTATAACACTTTTTTTTATCGCATACTTTAAATTTTATAGCGATTAATTTTGTAATTTCTTACTTCAAAATGTAAACATGTCTCTTGTAGGAGTATTTCTATCGAAAAAAGTACCTGTACATTGTGGTTTGATACTTTTAATTGATGAAAATCTACGAAAATAAGCTACACCATGTGACGTTTATTTACATGATGGAAGACCTTGGCGTATAATTATCTATTAAATTACATAACAGTTGCTTACAATTTTTTTGGCTCATATAGACAATTGCGAAAATAAAACGTACTCGTAAAAATTTTTTGACAACCGTTGACAATTTTTGTGTTCGTATGAGGTTCAATTTTATTATTTTGTTTTGTATACCCAAGTAGGTACTTACTCTAGTTGCTTATTAAATTAAAAATGCACGTATTTAAAATTTAATAAAAATGTACAATAAACTATACATTGAAGGTAAAGTTGTACCTAGGTACCTACTTAAGGAAAGCACACGCTTTTTGTTACGTTATCCTATCACTTTATCATTCAAATTAAAACGGCCTTGCTCTTGATGCAGCCTCTTTATTACAAGCACGTGAATTATTTTTGTTGAAGCGTAACGGCTAACCAAACATTGTATCAGTATTTTTTTTAATCGCTATAAAGAAATTTTTAATCAAAAGTGAACGGTTATGTCAGTGTTCGTTAATATTCATTAGGTTCTAAATAATTGGCACAACGTCAAAAAGAAATAACATACACAGGTCAATTTACATAAATTAATGTTTTAAAATTTTATTTCTTTTAATGTTTTTCCCCTATATCTCGAACAGAAAATAATTTTGTACATTTCGTAATTGCATTTAACCGGTATCGGCTTGCATGGGAAAGGTATGTATAGTCTGTTTGCTGCTTTTTGGGTCCGTACGTACCGGTTCACCGGTTGTAATGAGTAGTAGAAAACATTGCCAAAATGCGAAACCAGTTTTTGCAACACGTTACGCGTAATGCTTTTTAAAAGTGTATGTACGTACTCGCCGTGTAGTTACAAGTATGTGCTCACCTAATTCAATCAAAAACTGAAATGAATAGCGAAAGTTTTGAGAACGTTATATGCCATATATCGTATGTGACAGCAATTTTTAAGAAAACGTTATTCATAATACTCGTTAACACAATTTTTAAGAAAAGTATATCCATAAAATGTTATTTACAATTTATTAGTCATAGTACATTTTTACACGATAGGCTATATTGAAATAAATTTATTGCATTGCAACTTTATGAAGTACTTACTTAGGCAATAAAAATTTATGTGTCAAATGAACTGCAACATGGTATTGTATAAAGATTTTTCTTATCGTCGTTAACGTGCTTTTCAACTCTTTCCATTTAAATTTCGAAACATTTTTTGAAAATTCTACTTGAAGCGTAAATTTTTTGTTTTAGTATTAAAGGATGAACCAGACGATTTGACGCATTTGGCCCCCGTGGCGGGCGATGTGTGCATTTCATTGGAAGAACATCCGTATTTGACGGACGTCCTAGACGAATTTTTCTTAAAAGACAATTTTGCACCCCTTTTAAACGATGAACCGTCTGATCCCTTCATATCTTATCGGGATTCGTGCGATCCATCCCCGCAGTTATTGTCACCAAACACGGCTTCCAAGGTGTGTCAACTTTTTTTTTTTTTTAACTTTCCAGATCAATTGTTACTGTTTGTGTGTGCTTTTTTGTTGTAGAGTTCGGATTCGAGCATGTCATCGTTAAGTAGTCCTGCTGGAGAACCTTTGAGCGAGGAAGATCGTATGTCATCGTTCATGTCTCTCCAGCTTGAGGACGATGATCCTGACTTGCTCATGAAAGCCCCTTATATCCCTATGGATATGGGAGACGATCTGCCTCTGCTCATTCCAGATGATCTGGTCTGGAATAGCAGTGCAGAGAAAAAATGCACCAAAGAAATGGAAAAGGCTGCCCCCGACGTAAACTCCAGCCTGGCACAACTTCTGTGTTCCAGCACAAATAAGCACGGGCCAAAATCGATCGATAAAGGCGGGGGCAACAGCATGCAAATCGATTACGAAAGTTTTCCGGAAGATAAGAGTAAGGCGAACCGTCTTAAAGTGCAAAAACGCGTCATTTTTAAAATTTCTGTTTGCAGAATGCAACTGGACTTCTTCCAAATCGTCAGAGAAAAAGGAACGCAATTCTAACGACTCGTTCGGTAATAAACGTACTAACTCTTCAAGTTTCGGAGCCATCAGTAATAAAAGAATAAAGAGCGAGTCGAAGGAAAAAATGTCCCCGGAACTTTTACAGCAGCTCATGCTGAATAACACCCAAAGGGGCAAGTCAAAAGGCAAATCCAATTGGTTATTGGATTCGGGTCAGAAGGCCGCTTGTATTAGTCAGCCGAGCGATAGTGTTCTCATGAACCTCCTGGTAAGCGGATTCGATATTAGGGCGGGTTACATTTGTCTGGCACCGACTCGTAAAAAACATTAAAAGTGACGAATAAAAACTTAATTTTTTTTTTGCCCCGTTTCGTTATTTATTTCTGACGGGGCTTGAATTTGGGTAGGCTGAAAATGTACGGACGAATAGTCCCCGTGAGATAGAACGTTAAGTGACGTGACGATGGTTCGAAAGTGCGAAGAAACTTGGTTAAGTTCGTTCGTTTTACGTACACTTACTTATTTAGTGGTACGATTTAATAATAGACTTTAAGCTGTTCTGTGATCTATTGGGTATCTGACGATAAACTTTAACGCAAAGTTGGCACTAACCGGGAATTCTACAGTCGAATAGGACGTAGGGTATTTACATACATTTGGACCCGTATCAAGTTTTACACGGGCAGGTTCTTTTTCTATGCGAAGTTAATTTTTTAATAAGTAAATACGAAAACTAAACCCTTTGCGTACTTCTCAATTAATTAAATAAAAAAACAAACAAGCGTTGTATACTTCAGATCCGTAGTACTTTTCCAGTTTTACAAGTTTTGTGCACGTTGACAAAGCGAGTCAACAGATAAAAATCTTAATCTCTCTCGATTATTGTTCGTAATCTAATCAGAGCCAACAGAATTATTTCGGTATTGCGAATAAAAATAAATTTATATATATGCATATGTGTACCCAGTGATAATTTTTACTATACGGTTTAATGCATTCTCATTGAAAAAACTGTAATGTGCTGTAAATTTTGGTTTTACGTAACATATATTTTTTACCAGTAACATTATATACAATTTAACTGCAAAATTTGTTACTCCTGTGTAAAACTTGAATGAAAAATTTCGTTGTAAAACCTCCAAAAACTATTATAACAACAAGGATAATTTTTAGTTTGTTGATAGAGGCTGTTACGAGGTTGTTTCGAAATCTTAAAAGAGCCCATGAAAGTAGAATGTTGTTGAATTTTAGAGACCGTTTTACCTCTCAGTGTAACGTAGGTATTTTAGGCTTATCCATGCCTATTGTTGTTTAGAATGAAAACACGTCTAGAACTTGAAGACAGCAAAAATAGATAGACGCTTAACTAGGTATCGTGATTTTAATTTTCAAATTCTAGACGTAGTTGTAGTGAGTTTATTATCGTTTTTATAAAACTTGAGAATTATTAAAGACTGTGTTACGTGTCAATATTAGTTACCTACCTGTCTGACTTAAGTCGACATAAAAAAATAACGTTCATTTTCAAAAGCAAATAATTCCGTTAATAATAAAAAGTTAGTAAATAAAATGATCTTGTTGTTGTGTGTATGCTTGTCGTTAGCTGTTTAACTAAAACATTCACTTGTCTAAATAATATTGATGGTATTCAAAATTTAAGGATAACTAAATAATTTCACTAAAAGGACCTATATAATCATATATGTAAATGTAAATTGTTGTATGGTATAAGTGTGCCTGCATTTTTGAATACACAGTTATCGTACATTATAATATGTGTGTATAAGTATTACACAGCACTGATTGGATAACCCCGATTAGTTGATGTGATACCATCAGGTTCTAAGGTTACAAGAGCAAGTTTTTCCTAGTATGTGTACGTAACGTACAATTCATGTTTTATTATTATCCAGCGTGTTCCTTACAAAATTACGTAAAATACATATAATATCCGCATCACATACTACAATATTTTTGTTATACATAAAAATAAACATCGAAAGTACAAAGGTTTTCAGGGCCAGACAAATTGATGCTGCCATTGTTGTTTTTTGATTCCTTAAATCTGACTCCGATTCGTAATTAAATTAACAATTAATACACCAAATATACAGTGTGTACAGTAGGAGTTTAGTGTTTTAATCGATTGTGATAATATAAAAGTGGTAGCTTAGAAATTTTAAAATACACGAAGTTGTACTTCTTTTTGTACGTTGAGAGTGAAATTGTAAGGTATCACGGAAGTTGCGCGCGCAACGTGCAACGGAAGTCTCAGAATGCGCAACTGTCAACGGCAATTGCCAGCTGTAATAAAAGGCATTGTTTAAATAAATAGATGTACAACTTCTACGCCGCATATATAAATATACACACGTTTTTTCATTTTTTTTATTTATTATGCGTACACCGTCACGATTTACTTGATTATAAAATTTGACTACATTTCTTTTTAACAAATATTCAAATTATTTGTGACATGTTGTATCTGAAAAAATGTACTGGAAGAATAAGCAGCAGTGATAGGTTGCAAACAGTGCATGCTTTTAACTGTGATAAGTTTCGCTGTCTAAATTTGTAAGCTCTCTATTTTAGCACGGTAACATTCCATCGACATCGTCTAGTTTTGTAAGTCTAACATACACACTTTTATCCCATCCGTAGTTAGTAAATATTATAGGAAACTTTTAACTGTTGTCATCGTTGAATTTAAAAGTTGTAATACCATTTATATGATGTTGCCATACATATAATATATTTTGTACACCGTATATTATTAAATACCTTGTAAATTACGTTCAAAAAATAGATCGTTGTCATATATTTACCATAAAATTATGTATTTTATCAATAATTCTACTTTGTACTGTTACGAATGTTGTGTTAATTAATTATGTTATTTTCAGATACTCAAATTGTTAGTACTTTGTATTAAAACAAAACATATTTCGTTGTTGTTAGTGCTTTTTTTTTAATTAATAATAAAATCGTAGCTTTTGTTTTATTCTGTGTTTTTTCATATTTTTATCTGTTGACTGCCGCAGTTGTGAATTATTAACTAGGAAAAACAAGTTAATTTAATAAGTGACCCGAATTGATTGAATTGAAATTAGTAATAGTGGACAGCTATTATTGTAATGTTAAATGTTTTGACATAATTAATACCGTAAATATTTACACATTTCTAAACAAAGAATTTAAATTATTCAATACACTATACAGTTTTTCTATTTTTAAATGTCTTGAGTGTTAATAAAGTAATTCAGTTAAGTTTAATTTCATTAAAATCCCTTACACATTATTCTTAATGTTACTGTTACTCAGAAATGGGTAGTTCTTCAATTTTGAATTTTAATAGGAATAATAACGGATGTGATTTGTTAAATAATCTTTTTTTGTTGACCGCTTCGTTGAATATTTTTTATGTATTTTTCCGTACTATTCTTGCTGGCTTTTTTTATGAACAGTTTTCTTAACAACTTCACGAGTACATATCTTTCTTGATAAATTTTTTACTAAAACTTGTATTTTTTTTTTCAAATTTTTGATCCAAATCAAAATTTGTTTGCGAGAAAAATAAATTCTGACAGAAATAAAAAATGTAAATATTTTATTAAAAGGGTATTTTTTACAGTAGGTATTTGTTTAATTTTTAGTATTTTCACATGGGGAAAATATTATATTGGCTATTAGAATTTCCCTATAAACAAGTTAT